GTGATCCACATGGACTTTTTAGTCAATGGTAACTTTTCAAGTTACATTCGTGATCGTTGAAGAATATTCATTCAAAGGAACATGAAGTGAAAATTATTTTTCAACATTCAAATTTTCAACCCCAGAAGCAAGGTGAAGCTGTACTTGAAGTTATGTGACAAATTGCATTGAAGCCTCCTCAATCAATTTGCTGCTATCTATGAACTTGTTGAAGTGATCCAGAAGAATCGGTCTCTCTGTTTTTAACTCTGAAGTTTCTCAAAGCTGGAAGTGCTGATTTTACAAAAACCTTTACAAGAAGCCTCTACACCCACTGTGCGTTCAAAGTCAAATTCTTAGAAGGAAGTCCAACTGTTCAAGATAAATTCATTCATGCAGAAATTCATATGTTCATCTTGAAGTTGTGAAGAAATCAAAGATTAGAGCTGAAAGCCAAAGATCAAGGAAGACTGAAAAGAAAAGAAAGCAATAAACCAAGGGGGGATTGTTAGGACTAAATTATGGTTTATTGTAAGTGAAAAGAAAGCTATAAACCAAGGGGGAGATTGTTAGGTCATAAATTGTGGTTTATACTTTGCTTTTCATAAGCTATTAGAGTTCTCGGTCTAGAACCGAAAACACCATGTTTTGGTGTTGTTTGGACCAAAATCACATGTGGTTTTGGTTAGGCTTAATATTGGCTTATTTGGGTTTTGGGCTTGGGCTTGGGCTTTGTTATTAGGTCTAGGTATAAATAGCTTTATTTGAGTTTTGTAAAGGGGGTTGGACGTTCAAGGGGGCTGCCATATGCAGAGAACACATTTTGGAGAGAACCAGAGAGAAAACGAAGTGTAATCGGAATCTTATGTACCAGACGATTAAGCAATATATCGTGTGCATTGAAGATTAATTATATTGTTCTTATTCATCTTTATCTTGCATTATACACTTTGATTGGGATTCTGCACCATCAAAGTGAATCCGATTGATTTGTAGGAGAATTTGGGACTTACAATTGGTATCAGAGCTTGGATATCAATCGAATTGGCAAGATTTTAAGAGTTTATTGGATTTTTTCTTTGATTTCTTGGTGTTTTTTATTTATATTTTATGAATTTTTGGCCATTGTTCTTCGTGTTCTTCATATTTTCAAGTATTTGATCGAGTTTGGCATTAGAAAATTGAAAATCCCGTGTTTTTGGCAAGATTTGTGTGTTTTTGGTTAAGATTTGCGAGATCCTGGTGTCAGACTTCGGATCTCGGTCAATCTTAGAAGATCTCAGTGGCCAGCAGATTCTTGGTGTGAGGGTTCTCGGACGTGTAATGCCCGTGTTTCTAGGCTAGGCATTAATATTGACGTGATAGTCTAGGTTAACCTTTGTAACTCATCTAGAAGAAATGAAAAGGAATTATGTGAATATTATGAGAAAATTATGTGTTTTATGCTTAATTATTAGGGTTTAATTAATTAAGAATAAAAATGAGCGTCGAAAATGAATATTAGATAAAGCCGATATCTATTAAGAAAGTTGTAGTGGTCGTGACAAGGATTACGGAAATATAAAGAATACCAAAATCCGAGTTATAACGAAGAAGTTATGACTTGTCGAAGTTTCACGACAAAACCGGCACGGTGCCGAATGACGTAAAAAGTGAGTTTTTGATAAACTACTTTTTAGCCTTAGTGATCTAAACGAAAGTCGTAGTGTTCGTTAAACCAAGAGTATGTATAAAAAGAACGTCAAAATCTGACTTCGTATGGGGAAGTTATGATTTTTCTAAGTTCCAGCTTAGCAGTAGATAGCTAAAAACTCGAATTTTAGATCGAGTGATTTTTAGCCGACACAACCTAAAAGAGAATCGAAGGTCTCGAAAATAGTAGCACAACGGTTAAAAGACAGACGAAAACGGACATCGGATGAAGAAGTTATGAATTTTTAACGGATTTCCTGTCCCGGTCTGTTAAAAATAATAATATAAAAATTAAAGTCAAAATTAGCCGACGAAGTCTAAACGAAAGTGTAGAGCATAATTTTACCTACGCGTGCATATAAAGAACGTAAAAAACGGAGCCCGTATGCGAAAGTTATGGATTTTAGAAGTTTTTTGCTCAAAAATCGAGAAAATTCACATAGTCATACTTTGGCCACGTCACCTTCGTTGCATGCGTGCCATGTGTCCGAAATCGCTATGTCATCAGAAGCGTGTTTGAACCGGAGAGTCATCCGAAGTGGTCCAATAAGAATCCGACGCGTGTGCCTTGGTGGCGAGCCCTCGCATCCGACGCGTGTCGCGATGACTCTCGCATCCGAGCCAGCTGCTTCACTCCGCAGACGCCACGTGCCTTCGCCTCCTGCTGCCTCGTGCCTTCGCTGCTGACTCACCCCTCGGACCCTAGACTTCGGTCCAATCAGAAGCCTCCAGCAGGACCCTCGCACGTGCGACCCATGTGACCCCTCTTCGCATCTGCTGCCACCTGGAAGCCTCTCAGCCGTCCGATCAGAAGCCTCGCCCCTATAAACAGAAGGGTGCGAGACCTCCCGGGTATATTTCGCAAACTTGTCATTTTTAACCCCTTTTTCAATATTTCTTTCATTCCAACTTCCCGCAAAGCCCCGGTATTATACCAAACACCCAAAATACGCACCGAAGTGCCCAAGAAGCCCAAGAAATTTATATTTTCGGTTTTGAAGCCCGACCCTCGCAGAGCCCGGTTTCTCAATAAAGCTCCCGGTTTTATTAGAAACGATCGTTTTAGGAAACGAAGTGCTGCCCGATTATCGTTAAATCAAGTGAGTGTGTAGTTACTTTCACCTTACACATAGATATGAAGTATTTTATATAAAATACGTGCTGTGTGAATATATATTATTTGTTTATTTGAGATGGATGTTGAAGGAATGATTTATACAGGTTTTTAAATAATTTAAAATGTATATGTATTTTTATCTACAAAAAATGTTGGGTAAAACATGGGTAGATGAAATAGTGGGTGTGTGATGAAAGGTGAGTTGGATAAATGAGATGATCAGTGATGTAGATCATGAGTTGAGGGTGAATGGTGAAATATGAGAGAATCACTTACCCAAACGTGGCCCCCGTCATTCAGCAGAGTATGAATGACAACCATGGACTATTCTAGATGATCCGTGGAACACTAGCAGGCTCGCAACCTGTAAGTGTGTGAACTATATGTTCATCAGCTGTACTCTAAAAACCCATTGGCATGTATTGCAAGGGGGGATTCCCGTGAATAATATTGTCGATAAATAAGAGCTATGGACTTAGCATATGTTGTATAAACCCTGAAAGCTATGGACTTAGTGCCTGTTGTATAAACCCTGGCGACGACGTGACTTCGTGCCTATTTCTTAGGATGAATCCTTAGGAATGAGTGATAGTTGATTCTTAGGGTAAATCCTTAAGAAATAAATAAGATAATGAGGTTGGGGTAATTTGGTTGATTGTTTGATGTTTAAGCATAATAAATTTATTTATTGTGGGTTGAAAACCCTATATGCTCACCAGGCTCCCAAGCCTGACCCACTCAGCTTTTTATATTACAGGTAGTGGACCCCGAGCATAGTCAGATGATGATGATGAGTGATTTTTGGATTATAGGCCAGTAGTTGTAAATAACAGTTGTAAGGCTTATAATGTCTTGTTTATGCTTTTGATCTGTATCGGAATATGACATCCCGAGGTTTTGATATAAAATGAAAACATATATTTCTTAAAGAAAGGTTTTGATAAATTTTTATCATGTTTTGTTTTTGGGAACAAATTCTGCAACATCTTTTAAAATGATTACTCTGATTTTATTTTAAAAGCATAAATTAAATCGGTCTTTTCTGGCCGAGAAATTTGGGGATGTCACAGGACGCAATCTCGTTCTCGGACGGAATCTCGTTCTCGGTCAGCAACGAAGTCCTCGGCCTCGTTCACGGTGCGAAGCAATAAACAAAGGGGGAGAAATTTGGAGATGTCACAGGACGCAATCTCGTTCTATTTTATGCAACGAACTCATACACATATGGAAATCTTTTTAGGCTCCTTGAAATCGGTGCACCTATTTCAAAAAAAAAAAAAAAAAAAAAAGACGATTTATCAAACACATGAATACATGTGATTCGTGTTTGGAAATCTTTTGGGTTTGTTTTTTTAACACACATATATACTATCTTGTTCTTGTGAAATTCCAAAATCGATTGTAAGTTTGTTTTTGTTCTTGTTCTTGTAAAATCTAGAACAAATCCCATAAACGAAAGCCCTAAAGAACGATTTCAAGTTTGTTCTTACAATGACACAAACTAATGAATCCAGATTTGATGTGTGGGTCTTCTTGGTATCGAATTTGCTGTTTGAACTCGATAACAAAATAAATCTAGGCTTAATCCTAGAGTCTTTGTTTTTTGAACTCAAGAACACATGAAAACACATTCATGAACACACAGTCATGAATCTAAAATTGTGTTCCAGATATGATGTGTTTATTATGTTCTTGGTATTAATTTTGGTGTTTGAACTCAAGAACAAAGGAAATTTGGGCTTAACCTTGAGTTTTTGCCTTTTTGGTGTGTATGTGTGTGTGTGTGTTTACTAAACAACAAACTCAAAGACAAACTGTAAAAACTCAAAGTCATTATCTGTATCTCTATAAATAATATACAATTTGTTGTTTTAACCATTTAAAACAAAGAAATTTCAGACACTGTCGAAATCAAATGAAACCATTCCTAATTATACACAACTACGAGGGGGAATATGTTTAAAGAAAGGTCGAAAACAGGTCTAGCAGCTAGAAACGGCTACATTTAAAAATTAATCAAAAAGAGTAATTGGTTAAAACTGATAATAAGCTGAAACATAACCACTACAAATTAGTAAAAAAAAAAAAAAAAAAAAACAAACTATCGTTCTTTTGCATAAACAAGGGTATTTTCACTACGTTACAAAGTACGTATATAACAAAGGGAACAACTGAACAAGGACATTGCAAAAAAAAAAAAAAAAAAAAAATTAAAATTTATAAACCATCTTCATGTACCATAACCATCTAGAAACCCATGAAAAGACGATAAAAACCCTTCCAAGATCATTCCCTTTTATATGAAATCTGAATCATTCCCAAAGTGCTCCAAATCTGGATGGGTCCCACCTGGTGGCCTACGTGGGTTCCTAGCGAATCGATTTGGCTCAAACCCAGGAACATCTGGTGGACCAAATGGATCAAACCGTGCACCAGGTGGCACACCACTGTTCCAAAATCCAACAATCAATTAATCAATTCTTCCATAAATAATACAAAATACTGTATATTATAAATAAATTAAAAACAAAAAAAAAAAAAAAGCACTCACGGTTGTCCTCCTGGGAAACCCATTGGTCCTCCACCAATACTACCAAAAAATCTTGGATCGTTTGGCCCTGAATGAACATGATAATGAATTAATAATATGTAAATATTGAATAATATAATGCATGATTCATGACAAAAAAATACATAAAATACATACCAACAAGCATTCCACCATCTCCAAAACCACCCCTGTATATATAAATTGAATCTAAGATTTAATTTTCGCAATTGGTAGTTTTATCATAAAAATAAAAAATAATAAAAAAGAAAGATCCTTGAACCTTGTAGGGTACATTCCTGCACCAGGTTGTGGATAAAGATCACCCCCACCAATGCTAGGATAAACAGGAGGCATAACTACCCTGGCATTTTGGTAAATAAACATTAGGAAATGATCAAATGATCATTCATATTTAAGGCAAATATATGATAGCAAAAACTTCAACTATCAACAACATAAATACCCTGAAGGATGATAAGGCGCACGAGGATCTTGAAGTCCAAAAGGTCCAGTTCTAGGCTGATCGTTATCATTGTCTTGAATGCTTTGCTTAGAACTACAAAAAGAAAGAATAAGTTCAATTTATATAGTAACAGCACCATCCCAATTCATGGATGACAGAGTAGTTTATAAAGTAAAATAAAATTTGTAAACTTCATTACTTTTGAGGAAGATGGACTAGTTAGTAGTTTTACCTTGTAGTTGCATTGGATGTGCTTGCTGTTGAAGAACCATTCAATTTGGAAATGACATCTTTGTTGATGCAATTCACTAGATTACCCAAGTTTTTATACTGTGAACTGTATTTCGTGTCATCACTTTCACCAATGAAATCATCAATTCTGCAAGGAAGAGACACCAGTTAGGTACATGTGAGCTATTGAAACAAATGCAACAATCATTGGGCGTGAAAATTCAGAATATGCTTTGAAAAACATCTATTACGTGAACGTTTGAAGAAGAACTGAAGTAATAATAACATGCTAGCTAATGGCAGAATTCAAGATGTAAATTTGGATGAAGAATATATATGCAAGTCTTCACAAACACATAAAGATAAAGTGCTTACTTGATCTCGACATGAGCGGGATTGGATGAACCTGCAGCTAAAGCGTCCACAAGCAACTGGTTGTTCATGGTAAGGCACTTAACAAGCACTTTCTTGGAAGCCACTTCAGGGCTCGAGTAAACAAAAGCATAATTGTCTTCAACTTCATTCCACCCCTCAATCTCTGCTTCATCTAAACCAACAGAAACAGGATGTAAAAATTAGAAACGCAGAGTGAACGCTTGTGATCATGTTTTTTGTGCTTTGACATCGGAACTCCAACTGATGTTACTCAAATTCCAATTTGAAACCTAAAATTCTATGCTAAGCTGGCTACCTTTTCTTACGAATCAAAACCCTGATACACTAAAAACACATAATAACAAGTTAAAATACAAAGAGGGTACCAGAAACAGTAGCGGCAAGAGCGTCGTCGGTAAATGCCGGGGGACCGGTGGCGTTGAGATTGTAGCCACTTGCCAGGAAGATCGAGTGGATAGCAAATGCAATTTTATCAGCAGAGTTCCGAAACTTAGGTCGTGAAGCCCTTATCACCGCCATAACGGATTGCTCAGTCGCCATGTTTGGATTTTTAATGTTCAATTAAAACAGAAACTCGCTTCAAGAACTAAGTGATACAACTTACTTGCCGGACAGAAGACACCGATCGCCGGACGTTACAGAGAAGGATTTCTTCTTGGAAAAGTTAAAGTTCAGCCCCATTAAAAGGCGATCACCCGGAAGTCGGCAAAACTAATGTCCGAACGCATTTGGGTCATTGTATGGCCCAATTGTTAGCCCAACAAGAACTTGATGTGTCAGCCACGTTATTGAAATGTAATTATTACTACGATAAGTAAATGATATGGTCACCATTAATCCCATAAAAAATATATTGTCTTATCATCCACTCATCTTCGTTAGGGTGCTGTTTTTTTTTACGAAGCTAAAATGTCTGCATTCTGCGGATCATATCAGTAAACCTCTACAACAGAAAAGGTGGATAAAATGTCTACAGTCTGCAATAAAAAATCTGTTTGTTTTTTAATGTCTTCAGACTACTGAAATAAATTGAATTTTAAATTAAACCAATTTTATAATATTTTATTTGAGTTTTAAAACATCTAATAATTATATTTTTCATCATAATAGATAAATAAAATGCTACAATAAAAAAAATCATATATAATCAATATTTACAATGGATAATAATAAATAACTACAACAAACAAAATCATATACTATCAATATTTTTACAATGACAAAATTTTAAAAATTCATCATCTTGATCTTATTTCTTCTCTTAGATGTAGCTACAACATCTAGCATAATATGGTTATTTGATTGTCATTAACAAAATCTAATTTCTTGCTTAAGCATCGAGCAATCTTGATAATCAATCTGTGTGTTTTGAACTCATTTATTATCCATGCCATTGATACATAACATGACACCAGCACCATAACTTGATTCAAAAGGAGGCTCTTATCTTGTTTTCATAAAGAACTTGAGTTGAAATAGATAATCTATTAATAATATCAAAAGCGGTATTTCGTTCTTTATACATTGCGTGGGGTTTTCTAAATATGTGGTTGTGTTAAAGATGATCATCAGCCCTTGTTCTTGACCCAATAAAACTTGGGATTTCTTTGAAGACTTTTATCAAACACTTGGTGTGCAATATGAAATCACAATCTTTATATGAACCTGATTATTAGAAGGATTTTCACATACCCAAACCAAGCAATTAAAATGAGCAAAAAACAAAATTAGAAGGATTCAACATGCCCAAACTCACGTGATTATTATTCAACCAGATTAGATGCTGAAAGAAACCGACATCTGATTTCAGGGAAGAATAGATTTCTCGTACCTATGGATGAAGCCGACAGTGGACAAAGGAGGAGGTAAGCGGATGTGGGCTTGGGCGAGCACCGATCGACGTCGAGAAGCTTTCACCAGCTACGTGCATCTGAAACGAAGGTGTGGCTGGTCGTCGGAGCAGCGCTTGTGTGCATCTGGTGAACAACGATTCTGGCGGTCGATCGGAAAGGGGAGGACGACCAGTGGAGGAACGATGGATGGTAAGGAGAGATATAAAGGCGGTGAGAGAAAATAGCGGGTTACGTGTTTTTTTTGTTAGGGTTAAATGGGTTGCAAAGACGTTAGAAGACATTGGTCCATGTCTGTGCCAAGAAGACCTTGCGCAGACGATTTTAAGTCTGTGCACTTCCAAAAAACAAACAGTCTGCAAGGACATATGTCTGTGTGTGGTCTGCGCGGCGCAGACAGAAGCGATCTTACAGATCTGTAGAAAAAAAAACAAACAACCCCTACATGTTCACTACAAGACTACTATTCATTGGAAATGATTACCATTCCACTATCATTATATCTTTTATCTTTTATTTTTATAAATATTAAACTAAATAAAAAATATAATTTATAAAATTAAATAACATTTTAAATATATATATATATATATATATATATATATATATAAAGTTAAGTAATGAGATATGTAAAAGGATATAATGAGATATAAAAAAACACTTTCAGGTCTATAATATTAAAAAAAATTGATGATTGGTTTGCATACTTTACTCCCAAATACCCATTTTTCCTTCTTGACCCTTTTCTAAAAAAACGGGTGTCACTATTAAATAAAGTTTTTTGTTATATATATATATATATATATATATATATATATATATATATATATATATATATATATATATATATATATATATATGCAATGGATATCTTTATGACCATTTGGAAAGAAGCAAATTCATTGGTCGTGATTAAGCGTAGAGTCATCCACTTCACAAGATGCCTACGCCTCTTGGGAGCGGTGTTTACATGCGGGTTTCACAGCCACGCCAGATATTAGGCGTGGACTTATCTCCCATATCGGATAACTTTATTTGAGTTTCGTAATGATAATCAAATTAAAAGAACTAGAAAATACCATACCAAAAGCCTAATTTTCATCACAATGGAAAAAGAAAATAAATTGTTGTAAAATAATGATTTTTTTACCACATGTGTATTGATGAAACAAAAAGTTAGAGATTAATTAATTATTATTCGTTTATGGATTCCGATTAGCCTATGTATAACGCGAAACTCGTTTTGAATTAGCATATAAGTGTTTCGGGTTAATTTGTGTATAACTTGAAAACGTCAAAAAAATAAAAATAAAATTAAAATTAAATAAAACGTCAAAAAACAACATTGTATTCGAACAAAACATCAAAAACGAAATTAATAAAAACCAACGCAATTAAGATTATGTTAAATAATTAAAATAAAAAATAAAAATAAAAATAGTTATATTACTTATCATTTAAAACAAATTATGTATATATAATATTAATCTATTTTAAAAAGAATAAGTAAACTTAACTATTAGTTATTACTTATTAATAATTGATTTTTGCAAACTACCAACTAATGATTAATTAATTATTATTATTATTGACTTTTGCATATCAATAAAATAATTATTAAAGGGTATAGGAAGTGAAAAAGCAATTATTAAGGTGTACCAATAGTAGTACCTTAGATGATTCTGATCCTGTTGGCAATAACATAATCTCGGTCCAACGTCGGATGACTCCCCAATAACCAAGAATGTCTTGGCCGAGGTACATTCAATATCAGAAGTAGAAATGCCACTTAAAAACATTTGGAAGACAACATCAATTTTTGCAAGATCCATATATAATTGAGGCACTCTCCTGGCCCTTTTTGTGTCCCCATTCGTACTATGGGTAGTTTAGTTCCTTTAGGTTGCTTTGGCTCATTCCCCTAAAAGCTTAAGTTGTAAATGGAGTACATTTGGACTAAGTGCCAAATACCCCATCACCTTATGAAACAGAGACTTGTTGGTTAAAAGAAGAAGGATGGATCGGTCTTCATCTTGAGTTGCCCCATACATAAACACTTTGAGACTCAGCGAACCCTTCTACATGTCCAATGTTAACCCTATCGTAAAAAACCTGATTAGCCTTGAAATGTAAAGTTGTGCTTCAGACTTGAGGGCATGCTCCTCCACATCTCGTGAAATTGACAACACTATTAACATAGGTAAAGAAGTTTGCTTTCAAATTGAAGACAAAAACTTGATTCTGGAACAAGAATTGTCCAATGACATGTCTATCTTTGAACATTAGAGGTATTGGGGAGGACCAAAAGTTCGAGTGGGTCGGTTGGTTGAAAAATAAGTACAATGTATGTTTCTCAAGGCAGCCATAAAGTCAACTAAATGACTCGGTGAACATTAATGATGTTGGATGTTGGGATTCCCTCTACTTCAACTTTAATCATGTTGACGCGGTAGGTATATATGGAGCTCTTATAAGCATATGGTGTAGGAAATAGTGTCCAAGGTCATTAACCGTTTTATAATATTTCTAATAATAATAAGGTCATTTTGGGTTGGCCTCATAACACAATTAGTTATAAGATAATGGAGACATTTAAGTTATTAATTTATTAAATGATTAATAAATTAATTAGAAATTATTTTGGAACAAATTAAATAAATTTAATTAATTAAAGGGTATGGATATTAATTAATTCCTAGAGATTAATTGGAATATTCTAAAAGCTCCTAGAAGAGTAGTATGGACGGTTTTAAAGATCCTTATATAGGGATAAAGCAGGTTTTGAATAAGGTACAGGTTATCCTAAGAGTTGGAATTACTCGCTGCCTATAAATAGACTGTTAGGGATCAAACCCTAGGTACTAATTACCTTTCAGAAACCATTTACTCTATTTCCCCTCTCTCCCTTATGTGAAAATTATAACCCCTCTCCCAGGATTATAAAATTTAAAAAAATCTCATAACAAGGGTTAATCCTTATTAGCTTCTTGGAGTTTTGGTTATGACTACATTAGAGGGATTCTAATTTAGGTCATTCATCTATTGCAAGAGTTGGTAATTATGAGATCACAATCAAAGCAAAAAGAGGTTAGTAATTTATCCTTTCTCTAGTTTAATTTTAAAGTAAGTTGATATAACTAGTAAAACCTAGATCCTAGGGTGCATGCACACATATGTATTTTGTTTTGTTTTTGCTGCCTTGATCGTGTGCATAGATGCATTGAAAACCCAACAGTGGTATCAAATCCTATAAATTTTAGTTATTTGCACTTCTTTTGTAAAATAAAAAATCGCAATATGGATCTTTGACGGATGTAGCGCATCTTACCGATTTCCAAATTTCATATTTTTCAAAAACTTTGAATTATGGGAAAAGCCTCTTGATTAAAATATTGTTTAAATTATATAAATCCGAATATTAAATCCTAGATTAATTTTTAAATATTATTTAAGTAGGAATTTTAATCTGAATATTTAATAAATTAATATTGAATATCATTTAAATTAGAATTAGAATTTTGAATATTTAATTTAAATATTGTTTATTAAGATAATTAAATAAGAATATTTAAAAAGATAAACATATAAGTTTAAAAGGTTTAGATTTAGTATATGGTATGATTATTATATCTATAACAATAATACAACATGTGTCCTCACATGTTTAATTAAAATATTATCGCCGAACGATGACTAGGTTCACCCGCTCTAATGCTCCAAGAGAGGTTTAAGGAGGTCTCTATAATTTCAAATAAGTCTGTTTTTTACAAGCCCATAGGCTTACCACCCTCGCCGCTTCTTTGCATTTTCATAGCGGAGTTACCGAAAGAG